CACCGCGCACCAATTCATCGTCATACTATTATCATCATAATTATTTTTTCTTCCCTAATGTATTTTTCCTCTTGGTACGAGAATCAATACCCGCAATAACCGACTTCACCACAAAAAAACACCACCCTTTTTTCTCTTGGTGCGAGAATCATGTCACCACCTCCGTTGTTTCTTTCGGCGATATTCCACCGTAAAAAACACCACCCTTTTCCATTTTTTCCCAAAAAATGTGAAGATTCACAAAAAATTGAACCAACTCCATTTTTGAACAAACCCACATTAGTTTACAACGCCGTGGCCCGTGGGTTCAGCGGCCACTGCTGCAAGGCTTAGGGGTGAGCAGGTGGTCAACGTCGGTAGGGGGAGGGAGCAAGAAGTTGGTTTCAGGTGACCAGGGGCTGGCCGGTGTTGGTGAGGGTAGCAAAAAAAACACAGGAAGGTGGCTAGTTGGTGCGGTTAGGGGTGGTGGTTATTTTTATTTTTATTTTTATTGAAATTTTTCTAAAATAAATTTTCCCTAATTTTTTAATACTTACAATTAATGAAAAAATTCAAATAAAAATCAATCAAGTGCTCCCACGTGGCATAATTAGCCTTAATGACTAGCGGAGTTAACCATTGTCAATCATTAAGAGCATTTGGTGACATTTTTGTAAAACTCGTGGGTATTTGTTGAATTTGAGAAAATTCCACGGATATATGGTGAATAAAAAAATAACTCAGGGGCGTTGGTGAAAAATTTGTTTCTGTGAAATTTTATAAAGTTTATCTATGTGCAGTTGTTTTTAGAAACAGAATACTCCTTGGGATGTTAGGGTAAGGGTAACAAGATGTCCTAGAAATTAAGTCTGACTATTGACCGAACGTACTTCGGCTCCGCCTGTATGCTTGAGAGCTAGGCCTGCAAATAAGAGAAGGTTAGCTGCCCAACGATGTTACCCAGAAAAGCCCCTCCGACGCTTAAGTCAACAAGAGTACTTTCTAGAGAGAGAGAGAAAGTAATTAGAGAGAGAAAGTAGAGAGTGAATAAGAAAGAATACCCCTGGCCTCATTAATGATTGGAGAGCTATTTATGTTTGTACTTTCAAGTGGCAAAGTTGTTTTAGCTGGATAGAATAGGGATAAATCTGTACTTTCCAATGATCAGTGAAGGGTTAGATTATGGAGAGGTATTTTCGTAATTTTAGGTCATTGGGCTTAGGACAATGGACTTAGGACAATGGACTTGGCTAAACGGTAGCTATAAAATAGCCATTTAAATGCATAGTTGAAAGTAATTGATGCATACTTGTGTCAGGCCTTGTTTAGTTCACCTTATTTTTGCTTATCTGATCTAAGCTAGTCTGATTTGGTTTGCTCTGATTTGATCTGGTCTGGTCTAGTCCGATCTGGTCTAATCTGATCTGATCTTATTGTCTGATTTAACCAAACGTTGACCTTAAGTGTAAGATAATCTTTAAGGGATATGTCAAGTGAGATCTTGTTAGATTCGTAATATTGTGTATTTTATTAATTTGTAATTTTCATAATTTTTTCATTACGAAACTAAAGATACTTAGCAATAAAAAATTGCACATAAAATGATGATTTGATCTGAACTTATTTTTTCTGATCTGATCTGAACTTATTTTTTCTGTTTTGATCTGATCTGAATTTTTTTTTTCCTGAAATAAGTAAAAACAAGGTGAACTAAGGGCCTGTTCACATTGACTGAATTGATTTGAATTAAACTAAATAGAGATGAAATGAATATTTTATGAGAGAAGGAAATTAGGAGCTGAACTGAACTGAGCTGATCTAAAATGAATTGAATTGAATTGAAATTAAGCTGAAGTGAACATGCCCTAAACAAGGCATCAGTGTGTGCATTGAAAACTATGCAAAAGACAAACAATTAGACATGTAAAAGGAGCGGAGGAAGTAGCCATTCTGCAACCAAAAAAATAGTTAAAGTTCGACCCTTGTGACCAAAATTTAGTCACAAAATGATTATTTCATTTGCATTAATATATGTAGGGCTGTGCACTGGTCCAAAACCGGACCGGAACTTGAGAAATTGATTTTTTTGGGGACCGGGACCGAACTTTAATCAACCGATTCGGGTTCCGGTCCAGACCTGTTTATTCGGGTCCGGTCTGATTTTGGACCAAATGGATCGGTTACATTATTTTTTTTTTCCATTTTAGTATCTTAATATATACATACATTTTTAACGTCTTATTTTTTTTGTGTGCTTTCCTATTTTGCACCTAGAATTTATAAATTACAAGTTTTGTACCTAAATTTTTTAGAAATTTAAACATAAAATTTAAAATTTTCACCCAAAAAATTACAAAAATACACTTTTCGGTCCATTTCGATCCAGACCAAAATATTCCGGTTTTTACTCGGACTAGAAACCCGGAATCCGTCCAATTTGTGTGGAACGAAGACCGGGCCGAAATCAACCAGTCTGGGTCGATTTTCCAGTCCTGGTCAATTTCTGCACACCACTAAATATAGGGGTGTGCATAAATGGACTGGACCGAAAAATCGACCGGAACCGGACCGGGGGATTCCGGGTTGGTCTTCGATCCTCGTAAATTGGCGATTCCGGGTTCCCGTTCTGGACCGAAATGGACCAGAAAGTGTATTTTTGTAATATTTTGGGTAAAAATATTAAATTTAATGTTAATTGTTCTAAAAAATTTAAGTACAAAACTTGTAATTTATAAATTCTAGGTGCAAAATAGGAATGAACGAAAACAAAAACAAGACGTTAAAAATATATGTATATTTTAAGATACTAAATTGCAAAAAAAAAAAAAAAAAAAAAAAAAAAAAAAAAAAAGAAGAAGAATATAACTGGTCCTTAATCGGACCAGATCGGAATAAACAGGCCTAGACCGAAACCCGGACCGGTTGATTACGATTCGGTGCTGGTCCCAAGAAAAAGTCGATTCCGGGTTTCTGTCCATTCTGGTGTCGGTCCGGTCTGGTTTTGGATCGGTGCACAACCCTACATTAATATACCCTTCAATGACAATATTTGTGCAACATTATGTTCTCCATGTAAATTTTTCTTTTCCGTGTATATATATTACGGTCATTCTCTACTTTTTACAAACCCCATATATTTTTACTTTTTCAATGTATTTTTACTACTTATTTAATTTTCTTAATACCCGAAAAAATTGCCCATCAGGTTGAACTTTTGGGGACGGAGGGAGTAAAAAAATTATTGTGTTACTCTATACATTTAATGTTGTTTGACTTGTTAATTAAATAGTTTCCTTTCATATTAGCAATCAATAATTCACTATTTCAATTACAACTTTTTTTTCTTTTTTCTTTTTTGGTAATAAAAACCGGAAAATACAACTTAATCTGCCGATATACAATTTTTTGTTAATTTGATGGCATTTTTGTAAATATATTGAAGAAACAGGGTCATTTATTCAATACTTTTGGTGAGCTGTCCAATTACTATTTGCAACTTACTTTTACTTTGATGAGAAAATTACACATGTACCCCTCAATTAGTACATGAAAAGATGCATATACCCATCCACTAGTACTTAAAAAGACAATTATACCCCAGATAAACTGGGGAATTAACTAGGTATCCCTCAATAAGAACAATCAATTATAACTTTTACCCATTACATTAGGTAACTTTAATAATTTGTCAATGGCGTACAATTACAATTACAAAGTACTACGAGTATATTATTCAAGTTTATTATGAAGTAACTATATCCTAAAAGACACACCAGCAATGACACGTGTCATCTCCGGGTGTGTCCTTAGTTTTTTTTTTATTTTTTATTTTTTAAGAAACAAATCTTATACAAATATAGCTCTCTAAATTCATACAATATAATTACTTAAAATTAAAAAAATTTGACATATCTTTAACACAAAATATTTTTATAGCTATAAAAAAGACATTCTTAACATAAGTTTGATAACTTTTTACACATTTTATACCTGTAATCCCTTATTTTGATCAAAATTTGTCAACTATATTTTTAGATTTTATTTTGTTTGATTATAAATTATAACGATAGTTTAAAAATGATTATTGAAAATTTCCATGCAAGGCACGGGAACTAACCTAGTTGTAGTATATACATTGTTATAGTTAAAAAAAACATTTGAAATTTCGTTGATGCTTGTACTCCCTCCGTTTTTAAATACTCGTTTTAACTTTTTTTTTCTTTTTTTTTTTTCCGGCCGTTTTAAAATACTTGCTCTATTTCCTTATTTGGAAAACTTTTACAATATTAAATTAATTTCTCTCACCTAGTGGGTCTATAATGATCATATTTTATTGTTTCCATATTCTGTTTCCTCTAATTCTCTCTACTACTTTTGCTTTTTATAAATTTTATTCTTCCACCTACCCCACTACACCATATTTTATTACTTCGTTTAATTTCTTTTAAAACTCCGCGCATAGAAAAATCAATCAATTATTTAAAAGTGGAGGGAGTACATTTGAGAACATAAATATTGTACAATAGGATGTACTTTTGGTTTGGTATTAAAATATTATGAGCCTAGACTTGCTTAACTCAAATCTTGACTCAATTTTGTTTCAATTCAAATTAATCTAATCTCAAGTAGCATGCATATTGCTCAATTTATTCACTATTTTATATTTGCAAATAAATATTACTAGTATTCCGTATAAATTTGGAGTAAATAACAATTATTGATTATTTATCAAACTACATACTATAATTACTCTTGTTTTAATTAATTTTTCTATATTAATATTATGTATGTTGACCACATTCAATTATTCATTCTTTCTAACACATATAAACACAAGTCAATGTTTTTTAATCACATGTTAAACCATATTCAATTTCCAATTAACACTCACTTACACCAATAATTTCACCAAATTAACATAAATTCCTTATAAATAAAAAGTTATTCACATGTAAAATATTACACAGATTAAGAGTTAGAGATAGCTCAAGTGGTTAGGGCTTTCCTTTCGATTCAGGAGATCCTGAAATCGATTATTACCTCGCCCTTGTGGCTCTCTAACCACCAAAAAATATCACTAAAATTATGAAACCATATCTTCCAAATATGCAAACATGTCTAATTATTTTTGACCAAAGCATAAAATAAAAGCTCCAATATAACGCATTGTTTATTGTTGAATCTTTTTTGATTCAATTAAAGAGATCCTAGTAACTCCAACATATTAAAAAAATAATAATAACAATAATTTAAAAAAAAAAAAAAAAAACCATCTTAACTGGTCTCATTACTATATTTGCTCTTAAAACTGCCACCAAATATATAAGACTGCATGAAACATCCTAAAATTAAGAAAAAATAAAATTTAAAAAATTCCACCCAAAATTCATTCTCTAGTTTCTCTCTCTTCTCTCAATTCTTGATTTTTTTAGAGAGAGAAAGTCAGAGAGATGATGAAGAGGGCGAGTCACAACAACTACAAGGTTGACTCGGTGGTAATAGTGAGTCGACTCAGGTCACTTCATCTTTTAATGGTTCTAGTTTTCGTCTATTTTTTCTTAATGACAACTCAATTCCCAGTTCTTTTCCGTTTCTTGGGTAATCAACACGATTTTCCGACCCGTTTCGTAGACGATTCAACCCGACCCGATAAACCGACTCGAATCCTCTCCCGGTTGGATTTCAGAGCTCGGGATTGCGATAATAGCTCTATTTACAAAACTGCCATGCAAGCATGGGTTGTAGGATCAGAATTATGGGCCCAATTGAAGGAAAAGCCCAAGGAGGAAGCCCATGCGGCAGTGAGTCCAGGTAACGAAACGGCGGCGTTTAGGTGTCCGGAGAAAGTGTCAGTTACAGAGTCAGAGTTTGATGGGATGGTGGGCCTGCCTTGTGGGCTTACGATTGGGTCACATGTGACGGTGGTGGGCCAGCCCAAAAAGGCCCACAAAGAGAAGGAGCCGAAAATATCGTTGGGGAAGGATGTGATGGTGTCGCAGTTTATGGTGGAGTTGAGGAAAGAGAGAGTGGTTCGAGGGGAGGAAGCGGCGAGGTTTCTGCATTTTAATCCGAGGATTAAAGGGGATTGGAGTGATAAACCGGTTATTGAGATGAATCATTGTTATCGAGGTCAGTGGGGTAATGCCGTCCGTTGCGAAGGGTGGCGTTCGCCTTTTAATGAAGAAACTGGTATTGTTGCTTATTTAATATTTGTTGTATGTTATTCTCGATATTTATTTATTTTTGACGTACTCGATATTTACTCGTAAAACATTAACGGAAACAATGGAGAGGGGTACTTACTTTCTAGTAATTGTTGTTGTTTAGAGGTGTTAAAATTTGACCCGACTAATCTAACTCGAAACCTATGATAAAAAAATAAATAATTAAGGAAAAAAAAAGAGGTAAATATCTAAGAAAGATAGTAAAGTTAATAATTTATTGAAAAGTAATGAATGTGTGAAGAAATATATAATAAAAAAATTTAAAAAAATGATAGTGGGTTTGGGTGGAGACCATGAGAGGAGAGAAAAAATAATATTTTAATATATCTTTTTGTCAAAATAGGAAGTGTTTCGGGGTTTTCTGATGTCCTGCGGGAGAGTTACAATTCCGAGACTGGAACCGGACGCCTGTACCTGCAAAACAAACGGATGCTCCGGATGATCGGAGATCCGCCTCCGACGGTCAAGTTAGTACTTGATTAAGGAGTAATTAATGCGGAAATTAAAGTGATTGGGTCTCTCTAGGTGAGAGTGTTTAATGTGTGTAATCTGCGTTTTTTGCGTAATCTCCCTTAATGAGGATTAAGGGAGGTATTTATAACCTCGGGAAACGTGCCAATCTAGGTTTAGGTTAACCTTGGGCTGATTGGGCTTCCCTCGGAAGTTGGGCCTAGGCGACCGGCTTCTCCATTAGGCATGGAGTATGCCACGTGTCATGACATAATAAGTCAAGGGTGGACGAATAAGCGTGTGCCACGTGGCAAGCCCTGAGAGGTCCAACTGGGGGACACTTGGCAGGACCTGATTGGCCCACGTGGCGCATTCCGATTGGTGGGAGCAAAATCCCCTAATCATTTGCCCCTCACAGGTGGCACGTGACTGGTCACGTGTTACATGTGACAGGTATCGCCCTGTAACAGGCGACGACCTGCTACAGGTGTCACTCGCGAGAGGCCGAGAGATTCTCCCGCCAAAATTTTGAATTCTGGAAGTGACCCTTCGCCTTCTCACTTCACCTATATAAAGGGGTGTTGACTTCGGTCATTTTCACACTTGAAAACTTTGTGAGAGAACATTCGGACCCCTGAACTTGCTCTGACATTTTGGACCCTTTCTGTCTACCGCTTGCTCTGACAAGCCGACTGCAAAGGATTTTCAGAACTTCATCAATCGTCACTCGTTTAGGTAACCGTCGGTTCTCTTACTCTTAATTTTCTCTTTACTTTATTCTTTTTTGAAATGGCACCACGGAAGCACACGACACGACCTAGGTTAGTGATCAGCCGGTCACCGGGGACGGCTGAATCTAGGACTAGGAGTGCCGCCTGCCCTTTTCTGGACCCATCTTTGCCCTTTATACAAAGTCCGACTGTATCTGTGTCTATGCAGAGCATGATGGCCAGAACAAAAAAGACTGCCAGGATCTCAAACTCAGACGGCTCCTCCCACAGGGTGTCGATTAGTGAAACATCTGACCAGGCGCCAGATGTGGAAGTGAAACAAAGCGGCTTGAAAGCCGGCAGTTCTGAGGGAGGAGTCAAAGTGACCCCTTCCCATTTTACAGTTGGCAATTCTACATTCTCTCCTGCTCCTTTGAAAGGAGAGGAGGCGGGCCCCTCCGGGAGAGAAGAGGAGTCGTCCTCTTCGGACTCGTCAGAGGACGAATCCGAGTCTAGCTCTTCTGGCCATGCTTCTCTGGACACAGAAGAGAAAAACAGTCGCCTACAAGAGACGAGGCTTTCTCACGCAGTTGAGAAGGGGGACGATTGGGCGGAGCCATCCGCCTCTCACCGAGAGCAAAATACCCCCTACTACTGCACGGTACCTCGGGGCCGGATCACGGCCATGCAAGAGAAAGTGGAGAGCTTTATCGCAAACCACACAATGGGCCCCGGCTTTTTAGTGTTCGTGCCGGATCCGGAAGACACAGTCGTCTGGCCGGCTGGTACCAGTTATGATGGCGCCTGCTTTGGCTGCTACGAGGCGGCCATCAAGGCTGGGCTGCGCTTCCCACTACATCCGGCTGTTCAGCGGATCTTGGATGGGTATGAGTTGGGGTTATGGCAGTTAGCCCCGAACTCCTGGGTCAACGTACTCGGCTATGTGGCCGGGTGCGAACTGCACGGGGTGGAGCCGAAATTCGAGGCTTTCGCCCACATGAACTACCTCAGCCGGACCCCTAAGGCAGGCGGTACCGGCTGGTATCAATTGACGAGCCACAGGGGCTACCTCATGACGTGAGGTAAAGCAAACAAATGGAAGGACTGGCGGAGCACCTTCCTTATCATTGAGAGTTCAGACACAGAGCTGAACAAGCGCTTCAACAGGTGGAACAGGAATCCGCCCCTTCTTGCAGGTGGCCGCAGCATGCCGCCTGTTCCCCCCAAGGCTAAGAAAGAGATCCTAGATAAAGGACTCTTCAAAGTAGAGTCGAAGGTGAACTCTACTTCAGGGGTACGAGAGCAAGTACCCCTGCACTGCGTCCCGAGCTTCAAATGGCTCTACGACGAGTACTTTTTGGCAGCCTGTGGCCTCAGCAGTCGGTGCTCAAGAGGTAGCCGGCCTGTCGAATACTCTGTTGTTCCGTGCATTTCTTGTTATGACTTTTATTAACTTTGCTATTTGTTTTTGCAGCGGACGCCATGAGCAAAATTACCGCCTCCAAGACTGCGGCGGCCATGTTGCGGGCCTCCATCATGCAACAGTCTTCAACCGACTCCCCCAACAAGGGGGCACCCTTGGTGGGCTTCGAACCTTTCACCCTCTTTTTGGAGTTGTGTTTATGCATATACTGACTATTTTCTTCTTTTTTAGATGGGCGCTCCAAGAGCTTCTTCTTCCCAACAGCCGGACCCCAAGGCCCGGAGGACGACTGTTGCGAGCTCTCCTGGTTCTGCCAGGAAACATGCGGCGGCTGAGAAACAGCCGGCCATTTCTTCTAAAACTCCAGCTGGGCCACCTAGAAGTATGAAATTGTCCTTGTAAATTTTAGACTTGCTCCCTCCTTTACTAGGTCTAATCCGTTTGTTTATGCTTGATGCAGTCGGCCCTCAGGAGCCTGACTTGGTCGAAGTGGCCAAGTCTATGGTCAAGGCCGTACCTCCAGCTGAAAGGGAGGCGGTCAGGGGTGTCGGCACCCTTGACCTAGACGGGATTGCAGGGGTCCTTGCTGAGGTATACTTATCATATTTTTGAGTATTTGAATTCCAGGACGCCAGTTTTCTTTTTTGTTTGGAAACTGACGCCTGTTCCCCTTTTTACTTAGGCCCTGCTCCGAGTGAACGACCTTCGCAAGCCGCTTGACCGGAAGAACAAAGAGGTAAAGGCTGCAAAAGCTATGGCCGCCTCTGACTGTGATAAGGCAATGTTTCAAATTGCCCAAAATGAAGTTCTGACAATTGATATTCTTTATTATCAGGCGCAGGCTACCGCCGCTATCCGGGCTCAGTTAGAGGCGGCCCAGAAGAGGAATAGGGAGCTGGAGGCGACCATCAACAACCTCAAGACCGAGCTGAGACCTCTTCGCCAAAAGATGTCCTCATACGAAACCTTGGAGAAATCCTTGGCGAGCGTAAAGGAACGCCTGGTAACCCAGGAGAAGAGTCTTACTCAGGAGCTCTCAGAAAAGGCCGAGCAAGAAAAGAAAGAGCTGGTCCGGGAGATGATGGAAGACTCTGCTCAAATCCAGCGCATGACTTGGGGCCGCCTCTTCCCCAATGCCGACTTTGCCTCCTGGGAAAAAACGTACCGCTAGTGTTCTGATAGATATAATCAAGAGATCCTGGCGGCTGCTGAGGAAGAGGCGTTGGAGGAGAAGGAGTAGCCGGTAGTGGCGCTTGTGCCGCTTGGGGGTAATGCATCGAAGAAGGATGCAGCTGAAGCCGAGTCCAGCAAAAAGAGTGCTGACCAGGCGGCAGCTGCTAATATTGAAGATCTGCCCCCTTCATAAGCTTTATGTCTTGTTTCCCCGGCCTGCGTGCCGTTTGTTTGTATTTACCCGGCCAGGGGGCCGGGGCTCTGAATATTTTGCCGGTCTTTAATGACCGGCTTCCTTTTAATGAATTTTTTTTTTTGCTTCAAATTTGTTTAAGTATTGAATATTCTGATATCCAATTGTACACTATACCGACTGTTTTACATGGCCGATAGTTGCAGACAGGTACGGATAGTTAGTCACGCCGCCTACGCCCCTGGACGACTGGTTGTCTGTTTCCAGGCTAGACGATCAGTCGGCCATTTATCCAATCGGTATACGAACCATTTTAAAGACTGGATCCCCTTTAGGCAGGCGGTCCTGTCGTTTGTAAAATTAACCAATTAGGAAAGTGGTTTCCTACTTGTCATGTTTTTAGGCTAGAGACTTTAGGCCGTCTAGGCCGACTGTTCCCCGCCATATTTAATCTAGTGTGAACAGGTGCTGTATGAACACCTTTTTAGTTTCATACTAAATTTTTAAGGAGTGACCAAGTAAACATGATTGTTACATAGTCGCCAAGTAACTGAGTAGTAGAGGTATCAAGCGGTGGGTACCGGTTGTTCCCCTTTATTCACCAATGTTTGTTGGCTTTTAACTCATAGGTTGTTAACCTAGCAGGAGTAGTGGTTGAGAGCCCCTGTTTGCTAAAAACAGGCGGACGACTCATACCTTTTAGGCTCCATACTAAGTTTGAGAGAGTGACTATGAGTTAACTTTGGTGTTACTCAGTCGCCGTCACTCCTGCTTGAGTAGTAAAGGTACCAGGCGGCGGAGGCCGGCTGAACCTTTTGATTCGCCAATGTTTGTTGGATATTAACTCAAGAGGTACCCCCTGCATTTATCCCAAGTAATACAGGCGGTCATCTGACTCAGATGTCAACTGCTACCACTGGTTTGGTTAGTGATAGAGTTATCCTTGTCTCAAAAACGGCTACGTGGTTGCCCTTGGGGACAGTCGTATAGGTGCCGTGTAATTAGTTTATAGAGCA